TAATCTGGGAAAAAAAAGAGCAGAAGACAAATGAATACAGGCAAAGTGCTTTTAAAAGGGACTTTTTCTCAATGCTGAGGACAAAAAGGTGAGAGACGATGCCTCGGAGCAGGTATTGTTGCTCTTTATGTGTTGCAGTGGGAAATCAAATTTACGAGAACAGTAGGAAAGGTGGAAACAGTGAAACCCCAAGCAACATTAGTATTTGCAGCTGAGCCACAGCACCCAAGAGACCAGAATCTGGGTCACAGCCTTGTCTTACCTTACAACATGATGAAACAGCCTCAGAGGAGCTCAACCAGTGACCAAAAAGCAAGGAGAGAGGAGTTTGGATACCCAAAAGCCTCAGGAAAAGGACTTGCAGTTTCTCTCTCTATAAAGGGCCTTTGACACCTAAAGCAAAGTCCTAAAAGAGGAAAAGCGTGTCAGGAAGAGAACATCCAGACTCCTCCTGTCCCCAGTATAAGACATTTTCATCTGTTTTTTTCCCCGTGACCTCACACAGCACAAAGAACGCTGGCTGGATTTGTTGAATGGTTTTGATATGCGACCATGCAATGTAATGATCCCGTGGGAGCAAATGACCTCCTGACTCCAACCCCACTTGGAAAGCACTGTTGGAACTCCTGCCCTGCCCACCTATGGCAGGCTCCAGCCCCTTCAGCGCCTGCTCCCTGCTGGCTGGAGGAGCCGCCGCTGCAGCAGAAAGTGTATGGGACATTTCAACAAGATCCTGTTGGCACCAGATTGCCCCTTACCTGGGCCCGTCCTCCATCTCTATACAGGATTTTTTTTCCCCCCACGATATACTCATTCTGCTTTTCTCACCCATTTTTTTTGCCATCTCTCCTGTTGCTATTTTTCTTTTTCTTCTCACTGTTTGTTTTTGCTTTTTGGTGTGTCTTGCATCAGGTATGAAGCTTTATGCCTTGTCATGCTTGTCTGCGTGTAAAAGGTACCTGCACTTTGCCAAAGATGAGACACAGAGGCCCTATCTAAACTGCCTTTGGTGGTTATGTTTAATTCAGCTTGCATTTCAGAGCCAAGAGGCATAGGGCAGTTGTGTCTGTAGAGCATTTAAGGACTGAGCTCACATTGGGAGTATGATATTGCACAATTTTCAAAGCAGCTAAATGCCTGTACCTACCTTAAACTTTCACAGGAACTAGAATTGCTCAGCACATCTGGAAGAAGAAAGATGGTGATGCTGTAATAAAGTCTCTGAAAGAGTCAGGATAATAGCTCTGACTAAGTAGTTTTTTCCTCATTAACACTTTCCTTCCTTACCACTCCAGGGAACACCACAGCTTCCCGGGCACAGCAAGCACTCCGCCCCAAAAGAAGCCTACAAGAAAGCAACAAAGCCTATGATCCGGTATGTGTATTGCCACATAAGCTCAAAGCTGGCCTATTCCTACAGTTCAGCTTTACAGCTGCTTTAGTTAGCAACAATGTCAGGTTTGCACAAGGCTTTCTGCCTCCCAAAGTTTGCCTGTTTTGTGCAAGGCATCCTCTGCTCCTGTTATCTCCTGACCTCAGAGTGACACAGTTCACAAACTGCTCCTGCTGCAGTGCAGGAGAGGCTCTGTGATTTTCCAGCACAGTTTCCAGCTGAAGCTATGGCCAGAGCTCCATCTCCATCTCCAGTAAGAGGCGTGAGTCAACAGAAGAATATTTTGTCAGCGTGGCTGGGCTGCTGCCATCTCCTTGTGCTTCCCCATCATAT